AAATTAAAATTTTTGCATAACATATCATTGTACTAGGAAAAGTCAAATATTTGGAAAAATAAGTCAGCAAGATGCATCCCATGCATCCCAGCTGACAGGTAGAACATCTAGGCTGTCTCAAAACCATCCAGCCAACAAAACAAAACAAAACAAAATAAGCATGGAGGAAGAAAAAGGTATCCAAGTAATATCAGTGTTCAGAACTGACTCTCTCTAGTTAGTCCTAAAGAAACTGTTTTGCCTTTTTACTTTGCTATGTACCACAGTCTTTTGAGCCATCCTTTACCAGGGAACCCTGGGTTGTTTTATTATGACCACCATTGCAGTAGATAACTTCGGACACCTATCCTTTCATGTATAGAACATTTAATCTCTTTCTGGAATAAGATGTCCATGTGTCTTATAAATAATGTTGGAGCCTGAAGAGATGGCTCAGCAGGTAGGAACATTTGCCATTCTTCCAGAGGACCCAGGCTCAATTCCAGCACCCACATGACAGCTAACTGCCATTCATAATTCCAGTTCCATGGATCTGATGCTCTCTTCTGGCCTCTGCCAGGCATTGCACACATATGTCACACATACATGGAGTCAAAACACGCTTACATATAAAATAAAAATATTTTTAAAAAAATGATGTTTTATGTTAGTATTGTAGTATAAATGCTTACTTTATAAATTAAAAAAAATTGGCACTAAAACTGAATAATTTCCTTAAGAATAGACTGAGTGTAACCTTCGTTGGTATAATTTGGTGCTTTCTTTTGTGTTTTTGAGTTTTTCTTGTACTGTGACTTACTTTCTCAGTGGACTTTGTAAGCTCTAGAACTAATGTGAGGTTAAGAAGGAACCATTTTAAAAAATACTTTATTATTTTTATTTTTTGTGTATAAATGTAATGCCTGCATGGATATAAGTGCACTCGTGTTATGCAGTGCCTGCGTGGATATAAGTGCACCCATGTTATGCAATGTCTGCCTGGATATAAGTGCACCCGTGTTATGCATTGCCCATGGAGATGAGGAGAGGGCATAGAATCTTCTGGAACTAGAGTTTCAGACAGTCGCTAGCCGCCGTGTGGGTGCTGGGAATTGAACCCGGGTATTCTGAGAAAGCAGTCAGTGCTCTTAACTGCTAAGCCATCTTTCCAGTCCCAAGAAGGAAATATTTTGATACTGGTATTGTTCTTAGCTATTGCTATCTTTAGTTTTCTAGTATGTTCTCAGAGGTAAAAGTAGGGAAAAAATCATTTGTATGTACAAATTTAAAAATAACTGACATCTACTGAATATTTTTACGTTATAATGTTCAAGAGATGAAATGCTACTGGATCTACCAGGCTCTTTTTTAGTGTGTCTTCTCAATGAGACATAACAGGAGCTCCAAGTTTTACACTGCAAATATTTAATATGAAAATGGATATTTTTGCTATCAACTTTTAAGAAGAATACAAAGTTATATTCTGTATGGGGTGTTAATTTACTCTTGTGTTAAGAAAATGGCATAAACCATTATCCAAAAGTAATAGTATTTAAAACCCATGTGTTTTAAAGAAGTTTCATCCCTTTCAAATATCCAGTGTCTTTGTTCTGGAGATTTTGCCTGTGGCCATGTGTACTCTGTACTTCTGTTGTATTTCCTACCACACATCCTGATAGCCACTTCATGCAGCAATATAGCAGATGCTCTTTATGTTTATATTTCACAGCTGAAAAACTAGGTAATTTTTTTTTTAAGTAAGGAAATGGAGAAATATATTTGATGCCTCTCAGTGATGTCAGGCTTTTTTTAATTTTAAAGACAGGGTCCCATGTAGCCCAGGCTGACCTTGAACTTGCTATCTAGCCTAAGATGACCCTTGAACTTATGATTCTCCTGCCTCTATCTCCAAGTGCTGTGATTGTAAGCATTTACTACCACATCTGGTTTATGCTAGTAACCAAACCCTGGTCTTCTGCAAGAGCAGCAAGTGCTCTTAACCAGTGAGCCATTTGTCCAGTCCTAAAACTAAAAATTTTAACTTAAAGCAAATTGTTGTGGCTCACACCTTTAATTCCAACACTTGAGAGTTCAAGGCAGGAGGATTATCATGAGTCTGAAGCCTAAAGAGTTAGAGACTACCCCCCCTCCCCCCCCAAAAAAATTGAACTTTAGGGCTGGGGATATAGTTAATTTAATTGGTAGAACATTTGTATAACACGTACAGAGTCCTAGGTTGGTGTGGACTCCCTCAGGCTTTTCCCTTTGGTTTTTATTAAGTATAAATATACATATGGGGACATGTCCATTTGGAAATAAAACTGGGTTAGTTGTGTGTTTTTTTAAACATAAGTGTGATCTTATTTATATCTCTGTAACTTGCTTTTTCACTAATATACCCTGGAGATCTTTTGGATCTAATGATGCTTTTGGATCTACTTTCAGTTTTCTTTTGTGCAGTCCAGGGTAGCCTTGAACACACTTCATAGCTTGAAGCCCTTGCCCATATCCTCCTGCTTCTACCTCCTAAGTATTGTGGTTTGCTACCCACTCCAGTTCCATTTCTTAGACCCCTCCCCACTCTTTTTTTTATGGGGCTGGGGATCAAATCCAGAGCCTTATGTTTATTAGGCAAGCAAGCATTCTACTACTGAGCTCCCAGTCTGTAGGTCTATCTTTTAAAAACTGTTTCATAGTATTTCTTAGTTTGAGATTGCCCTCTTACAATTAACCCATTTTTGTTTCGTTTAAAATTTAATTTACTTAAAGTACATTTATTCAGCAAAGATGATACATTTTAGAATTAGATGGTGAAAAAAAGTTTTTCAGTGTTTTCAGATTCCTGGCATGTTACCTTTTGAGATTCAGGACCAATAAATCAGTATTCCCAGTAATTTTCAGGAATTATAGTTACTTTAGACATACCTCTAATAATCTGTTTCATTTTTTAACTATTAGAAATCTTTCTGCATTGAGAATGGAATATAATGTGGAGTCTAGCAGATGCAGGTTGGGTAGATCAGAACAAGATTCCATGCAGATTGTGTTCTGGTTTTGGCACACACAGAAGTAGTTTTTTCTCCGATAAATGTTTAAATCAAAGTGTGTGTGTGTGTGTGTGTGTGTGTGTGTGTGTGTGTGTGTGTGTTTATACTAAATATAGTAAACTTGTAATAAATAAGTGTAAAGGTGAAATAAATTATAGATTGATGACTTAGGGTATTCTCATGTGCAAGCTGCTTTGTTGGTAGTACATCTGAATGTGTAAGTAGAGCTGTGTTTCTTTGAGGGCACGAGTTAGTTGTATTGCTTTGCTTCTTATCCTGGCAGTTGCACAGGCTTAATATGAAAGCTTAGATGGGAGCAGTTAATCCTGTCAGGGTGCACAGTATGCTACCTCTTAGGACACAGCCTTTGCTTCTTGTGTTAGGAAAGAGCTTGTCTATTGCATGCTTGGACTAAATGGCATGCCTCAGTGAAGGATAGCTGAAGATTTTGTTTTAGAATGACTGGCTTAGTGGAGGGCGGTTATTACTCATTCTTGAACTTTTTAAGTTCTTAGTTTTATTTCTGACTTTGGCCTTATTACTAAGGAAGTGCAGAGAGCTTTGTTTGATTAGTCCCACTGTTGCCTTTTTCAGTTCATTACACAAAATTGTCTCATGGTCTACACAGCGTGCTTAAGTGTAGAGCCTTTGCAAGTCATTTAACTTTTCTGAGTTAAGCCGAATACCAGCCATTCAGAGTCATATCCAGATCTATGTGAATCTTCTGTTTGGATGATTAGTTTGAGTCTGGAGAGTAGAAATATCTGTATTTCCTTGATTTATGCTGTGCCTGGTGCTAAATTTTGAGGATCCAATAATAAGAATTTGGAAAACAAGGAATTGGTTTGAAAAGCACATCAATTCCGTTCTTGGGTTTAGACTGTAAGAATTTGGTCATTGAATTTAGAAAGTCAACAGTATGTAAATTTATAATGTGAATATTGCAAAGCCTTTGCTGCAGGCACTACTGCTAAAAGCTGGGCCAAACCTTTCCTAGAACTACAGCCTATGCTGGGCACTGCTTTAGAGCAGTTGCACCTGTTTCTGCTTCAACCCAGAACCAGAATTTGAGAGATGGGCATTTGTTTCTTGTTTCCGTCTGTTAATAGAATTGTAATACTCTTTTGAAGCTGTTGGGAGTTGAGAAAGGAAGTTAAAACTTCAATACTATTCCTTTAAAAGTAGTCCATTCAATATTTTAAAATCAATATGCTTATAGAAATACATTCTTTTTGTAAAGCTGGAGAAAAGAGCAACATGAAGCTCAGACTTATAAAGGTGAATTTTCACAGGGAAAGCCAGAATTTCCCTAGAGATTGTTTCAGCTTTGGCCTTTCCTTTGTAGGGAAATGAAAAGTTCTAACTTTTACTGGATGTTTGTTAAGTTACAAGTAAAAATGGTACCATGTAATGAGTCCACCACATATTTTTGAGTTTTGTGTTTCACTATAATCCACCGCATTATAACTGTTTTCCTTTATCCAGTTTGACACTTGAGAAATCATTCCTCTCACACAAAATTTTCTCTTATCCCTGCTCTTAGAGGGGTGTTTTGTTGAGGATAAAGTGACTATATTAACATTTGTTTAGTATTTAAATAAATTTTGGCGGGGGGGACCTTTTTTGAGACAGGGTCTCCCTGTAACCCCAGCTGACCTGGAACTCATTAGGTAGACCAGGCTGGCCTTGAACTCACAGAGATCCACCTGCCTCTGTCTCCAGAGTGCTGGGATCAAAGGTGTGTGCCACCATGCCCAGCTCTTAAATAAATGTTTTAGAACCCTTTTCCACTTCAGTTCTTATTATGAGACTTTGCATTGTGGATTTAAAAAGACCCTCCAAACATACTTTAAAAAGATCAGTTATCAGAACTTCGATTTGTGAGAAGGCACCTGCTTTTGATTGTTTCAGATAATGTAGACTAGGTCCTCATCTGTACTGATTCTTGAGTAAAGCAGAATAACTTATTTTTAGGGTCCTGATGAAGAAGCTGTTGTGGATCTTGGCAAAACTAGCTCAACTGTGATCACCAAGTTTGAAAAAGAAGAACTAGAAAGTAAGTTCATTTAAAATAACTTATATGCTTAGCAGGGTAAATGACCAGTTAATGCCTGTTAGTGTTTCCTTAAGTTCATTTACTGTTTCTGGTAACATTTTTGTTAGAAGAGTGCCTAATACTTATTTAAAGAATAACAGTGCAGCAGATACCTCCTGTCTATAAATAGTATCTCCTGATTACTTATTCTTTGTTGACATATTGACATAAGATAGATTTCTGAAAGCCTTTCAGAAATAGTTATTTCTTGAGAAAATGAAGACTCAGGATTACAAAACCCCCCCCCCCCACCCATTTCTGGCAGCCTGGGTAATTTGTATTATAAGCAGGCTCAAGATTCAGGTCACAGTTATCTCTAGTTGTCATCAGTATGCTCATTTCCTGTGTATGTTACAACACCCTTTATGACTCCACTTAGAATTGTGCAGCAAGTGAGTTATTTGCCTGCCCTAAATGGGAAGAAATCCTATTAAATGGTTTCTTTTCTTCTTTTTGAAATTATTTTTGAAATATAGAATGTCTGCATACATGGTACAGAACATTTCTATATATACCTTATATAGGTTCATCTAATGTTAAGAACATTAATTTTAAGTCTTAACATTTGCGAAAATATAGATAACACTGGATAATCAGTAATTGGTTTACTTATAGTTTACTAAGTTAAATTAGATTTTATTTGTAATTTATTGGTTTTTCTATTCATGGCTTTTTCTGTTCCAAAGTGTGTCCTGACTGACACACTTTCAGCTTAGCAGTACCTTTTGTTGCCATGTCTCCCTAGTCTCCTGTTATCTGTATGAATTTCTCATTCTGTCCTTGTCTTCATGACTGTTGGTACTTTGTTCATGGTCCTCAGTTTGCAGCTATGTCTGATGTCTGCATGTGGAGATTGAGATGGAACGTGTACCCATCTCTGTATGTTAACTCTGTGAATATGACAACAGTGTGGAACACTTGGCTAAACTGGTGTGCTTGGCAAAGTTTTATAGACATGTTAGGACCTTTTTATGTAAAGTTTGTGAGAACCAGTCCTACATCAAGCTCTTACTCTATTGCTATTAAAGAGGAGATGGGAGGACTGGGCATGGTGGCACATGCTTTTAATTCCAGCACTTGGGGGGTAGAGGCAGGCAGATCTTTGTGAGATTGAGGTCAGCCTGGTCTACACAAGCCTGCTGGGGCTTTAGGGAGAACCTGTCTTAAACAAACAAACAAAAATAAAAACAATAACAAAACCGAGAGAGAGAGAGAGAGAGAGAGAGAGAGAGAGAGAGAGAGAGAGAAGGTGATGGATTTGTATCCTGAAAATGTTTTCAGAGTGACTTTTAAAAAAATAATTTATTAGGGGCTGGAAAGATTACTCATCAGTTAAGAGCATTAACTACTCTTGTAGAGGGCTCAGGTTCAGTTCCCAGCACCCACATGGCTGCTAACAACTAATTCCAGTTCCAGGGGATCTGATGCCTTCTTCTGGCTTCTGTGGGCATTGTATGACACAGGCAAAACACATAAAATACAATAAATGACTTTATTATATTAAATTGTTTGAAATAGGATCTTACTATATAGACCTGGCTGACCTAGAATTTGGGATGATCCTCTCATCTCTGCCTCCTGAGGGCTGGGATGATTGGTGTGAGTTACCATGCCTGACAGAAAATGACTCTTAAAATGTCTAGGTTACTAGGGCTTCTAGAAATAGAATATCGTGTGCACTGTACAGTCCGTATTCTAACAGAGGACACTAAAGGCAAAAGCAGAACCAACCCTAAGGCTGTCTTCTGATCTTTGAGTCCTAGTGTAGTCTTACTGCTGCTAGCGTTTCTAACTACCAACTCGTGCTACTTATCTTTTTGCACTGGGCTAGTGTGCCAACACCATGGCTATCAGTTGGAGCCATAGGGTTATAATTCTAGTGCATAGGGATGGGAAGTTGTTTCTTAGTTACATTTTTATTAAAACAAAATTGTAAAGTCGCTGTGTTATTGTAATTTCTTTAGCGATACATAATTCACATAATGTAAAATTCACAACTGTAAAGTGTTCAGTTCACTTTTTAAGAATTTTTTTATATATTGTTTTTATTTTATGTGTATGAGTGTATTGCCTGCATGTATGTGAGTGCACCTGTGTCATGCAATACTGTGGGGGTCAGAAGAGGGCGTCAGATTACCCTGGAACTGGAGCTAAGGATGGTTCGTAGCCACCATGTGGGTGCTGGGAATCGAACCCAGGTCCTCAGCAAGAGTAGTCAGGGCTTTTAACTGCTGAGCCATCTCTCCAGTTCACTTTTTATATCCTACTACTTCATGTTACCATCACTGCTCTGATTCCAGAAACACTTGTATTACCCTTAAAGAAACCTTATATAATTCTTAAATTTATGGGTTTTTTTTCTGTTAAAATTTTTCTAATAAATTGAGATTTACTTTTTTTTAGACATGTATCATGTACTTACTATGTGCTAGGCAGAGTGCTAGGGTACTAGGCGATATTTAAAGAACTTCAGTATGTTTCCACAAGTCTAGTTATATTTACTTTAAAAGTTGCTTCAGGTTTTTTTTTTTTTTTTTTTTTTTTCTTTTGTCGGGGGGTAGTCTTGCTGTGCTAGCTCACTCTGGCCTGGAACTCACTGTATAGTTTAGATCTGATGGTTCCTCTTCATTGTCAACCTGACTGGATTTAGAATCACCTAGGAGCACCTAGGAGGCACAACTCTGGGCATACATGTGAGGGAGTTTCCAGAGGTTTAACTGAGAAGGCACAGCCTTCCTTAATGTGGGTAATACTATTTTGTGGGCTAGGGTCCTAAACTGAATAAAAATGAAAAAGCAGAAATTCCCCTTCTTCTGCTTCCTGATCTGCCCAGATCTGAGTAAGCAGCCGTATGTACCTACTGTCCTGCCTTCCTGAATGTGATGGACTTATAAATCCCCTCAAACAGAGCTGAAATAAGTTCTCCTTCCCTTAAGTTGCTTGTCACGAATTTGGTCTCAGTGACCAGAAAGATAAAGTGATGAGAAAAGTAACTGAAGTACTAGGCATCCTCCTCTTTCAGCCTCTCAATTGCCAGGGTGATAGGCCTGTGTCACCAGGCCCAGCTTCATGTACTTGGTGGACAGTAATATATTGGCAGCTGAAATAGGACAACAATGTCACCTTTTTTCTCTAATCTGGGAGCATGAGCTTCAGGTAATTCAAGTTTTCTCTGCACATAGCACAGATGACTTTGAGAAATGATTTAGAGATGATTTGCAAGCATGGAATCAACAATGATGAGATCAAGTATGCTTTCATATTTCTTAAGAGGCCAGCGGCATGGGGGTGTACTTCTGTAACTCTCACTTAGTAGGCAGAGACAGGAGGATTGTGAGATCAGGGTCATCCTAGTAAGACCCTCTCTCAAAAAGCAAAATGATAGTATCAGATCTCATCTAAGGATGAAGAGTTTCTGGAAATACTTATTTCCTGACTGTCTTATGTAGTTTGTCGTGGAAAGAGTATTATTAATAAAATATTTCAGCATATTTTAAATTTTATTTATAAAGCCAAAAAGCAGCTCTATGCCGGAGGGTTTTTTTTTTTTCCATAATTGCATATTTGTTGAATTTTTAGTTCACTTTTTTCTGTATCTAACCACAATACAGCTTAGATAATAAACTGTTTAAACTCTTTGAAGAAATCAAGCTCTTGCCTCTCAGTAGTTGACACACTGCTGTTAGTTCTGTTCCCAATTCATTTCATTTAGTAAGATTTAAAAAAAGACTACCTTTTGTGCCGTTGTTGTTGTTGTTGTTACAGTACAGAGCTAAGAAAATATACCAGTAGTAGCCTTTTCTTTTCTAAAGGCATAGAATAATAGTATTTTTAAAATTTCACCTGCTTCGTAGTCTTTACTTGGTGTTTTCAGATCATTTACATTTGAATTTTGTTCTAAAATCTTTAAAACTATGAAAAATGGTAAATGACCATTTACTTAAATTAGTATATTATGATATATGAGTTATTTTTTCACCCTTATGACATACCTTAAAGCTGTCTACTAACTAGGGTTGGTCATGAGTGTAGGTAAAGAGTGTGTGTGTTTGTGTGTGTGTATGTGTGTATGTGTGTAAAATGTGTTTTATTTGCTTGTGTTCTGAGGCAGAATCTCATTAAAAGCCCAATTGGTCATAAACTCTGAATCTTCCTGCCTTCGCCTGAGTTCTGGGATTTATAGGCACATGCCACCACTCCAGGCTTAGTGAGAATAAATTTATGCCTATGCTATATGAACCTAGCTCTTGTCCTTGGTATATTTTAGAAGACACACTGTGCTTGCACCAGTAATCTGTGTGACTAGTGTAATTACAGTCAGTAGTACAAGGCCCTGGGATAACATTCTGTAATGCTTTATAAAATAAATCACTGAAGAACACCATTTCATGGACCGATATGTAATTCTTTGTTACTAGGGTAAATTGTGGTATACTTATTGAATATTATGCTTTGTCCTTTGGTAAAACCAATAATATATTTTCAAAACTTTTAATAGGTCATCGAGCTGTGTATGTTGGTGTTCATGTACCATTAGGTAAAGAGAGTCGACGTCGTCACAAGCATCGTGGACACAAACATCACCACCGGAGAAGAAAAGATAAAGAATCAGATAAAGAAGATGGCCGGGAATCTCCTTCTTATGGTAGGAAGAAGCTGTTCTTTACTGATGATTTAAAAATGTTTCTTGGGTAGTATGATAGTTTTCACTTGATTCTTTTCTTTTTTAAAAAATATTTTATGTATATGAGTATATTACCTGCATGTATGTAAGTATACCTGTGTCATGCAGTGCTCATGGAGATCATAAGATGGTGTTGGGTCTCCTGGAAGTGGAGTTACAGATGGTTGTTAGCCTCCATTTGGGTGCTGGGAATTCAACACAGGTCCTCTGCAGGAGCAGCCAGTGCTCATAACTGCGGAGCCATCTCTTCAGCCCCTGATTCTTTTCTTTTTAACACTGTATATTTGCAATAATTTGAGCATACTGAAGAAATATCAACTGAAGTCCTGAGTTTCTTGTTTTGTTTTTTGGAAGTTGGGCCTCTCTGGGCAGCCCAGGCTGGTCTCAGACTCAGGATCCTGCCTCATCAGCTTTCTGCATGCTGGAGTAGTAGGTGTGTGCTCCCATGCCCTAGCTAGATTTTTTTTTTTTTTTTCTTTTCTTTGTCTTTTCTTCTTTCATTTGGTTTAAGTAATTTATTTTTGTGGTGCTTGGGTGCTAGTGTCTCATGCATACCAGGTAAATACAGTACCACTGAAGTATATCCTTAGTACATGGACTTTTTTTTTTATAAGTATTGGGGGGGCTGGAGAGATGGCTCAGTGGTTAAGAACACTGACCTTGCAGAAGACCCACGTTCAAGTCTCAGCACCCACATGGCAGCTAACAACTGTCTATAACTCCAGTTCCAGGGGATCTGACAACCTTTTCTGTCTTCTGTGGACATTGTACAACATAAAGTGCACTTAACATACATGCAGGCAATACATGCATACACATAAAATAAAAAATAAAAATAAAAGTATTGGTTAATAGGTAAGATGTCCTTGGTATAAATGGGGCAGGGTGGGGGGGGAAGATGGTAGTAGGGCTTTTATGTTTCCGCATTTGAATTGTAAGGGTTGGTTCTTGTCATTTAGCTTTCAGATCAGCACAGCTTTCTTTCTTTCTCTTGCCATACATTTTACTACTTGAACGTGCATTAAGCAGACATCTGCAACACCGAAGCCTTTGGAAAACACGTAGTTTTCATTTTTACTTTTCTCTAGCAGGGTCTTACTATGTAGTCTTGTCTGGCCTGGAATTTGCCATGTAGATCTGGATGGCTTTGGACTTAGATCTGTTCTGCTTCTTGCTCCTAAGTGTTGTGCTTATAGGTGTGTGCTACCATGCCTGGCTTTTGTTTGTTTCTTTTTTAAGCCATTTTTATTTGCTAGAAAATTTTAATCCCTGTAAGTACTTGGTTGTATGAGCAAAAAGTAGCAGTTTGATTTGGCAGTATTGTCTATTTAGAAGGACAAGTTTTAATGTTTGTTACTTAAAAAAAATAGAGAAGTATACATATGCTAGTAGAAGTCAGAAAGAAAAGGGGAGTTGTATGTGGATAGAGGACAAAGAATGTTGCCTATTTTCTAATGTATAAGGATTGATGCCACGAATTAAGTGGCCCTGAGACTGAGTGCCCTAAGGAAGACTTACATATTATTCTTAGTTGACTAACAAGATATCTCTAAGGAGATCCAGTGAGTGTGTGTTGAGAAAGCTATATGAGCTACATGGTTTTTGTTTGTTTGCTTTATGAGATAGGCTTTTTCTTTGAAGCCCAGGCTGGCCTGGGACTCACTATATAACCCAGGCTGGCCTTGGGCTTGAGCCAGTCATTCCTGGGTTCTGGGATGACACATGTGCCCCATCTCCTGGCCTGAGCTTTAGGCCTTTGTGTGCTGTGTTCAAAGTGAAGAAGCATGGATGAAATTATGATTGTGTATAATGTAGCTATAAAATGATCATAAAGCCAGTGCTGATAGCCTGGTAAATATTGAGTGCCAAACCTAACCCATGTTATGAGGTCTTTAATCTTTGAACCCTTATTTTTCTTTTCTTGATGGTGCTGGAAATTGAACTTAGGGCCTGACAACATGTCAGACAAGCACTCTGCCACTGAGCTACAGCCCCAGCTCTTAGAATAGTTTAAAAAAGTGGATATTATTATTTTAATTTTGTAGATAACCTTTGACTCAGACAGAGAAGCTAATTGATAAGACTCTCTTAAGTTTCTACTAAAAGTATGAAATGGTTATATATTGGGTAGAGGTCATGTAACTAGCCAAGGACCAGCAAGATGGGTCAGATGGGTAAAGGTGCTTGCCACCAAGCTTGATGATGTGAGTTAGATCACTAGACTCCACGTGGTTGACACCCCTCAAGTTGTCCTCTCACCTCCACATATGTTCTATGCCACATTTGGACCCGCACACATACACATACAAAAGAAATAAATGTAAAAAATAAATAAAAATTTAAAAGGGAAATAAAGAGTTTAGAAAAGATGGATGGTGAACTTTGATGATATTAATTCAGAAGTAGTTGACTATCCCGAAAAATACACTTATTCAGTGTAGCATAACTTAGGCCCTTCTGCAAGTGGATCAGTTTTTGTAGTTCACACAGAACTAAAAAAAAAAAAAAGAAAAAACAGTGTTTTTGTGTGTTTTTATATTCACTGAAGTAGATATCTTTATGTTTGAAGCAAATATAAATATAATGATTTTTAAAAAGGAATTAGGATGTTCAAGATGTTGAGTTTTTGTTGTTTCTTTGTGGTTTGTTTTCTTTTAGACATGGTCTCACTGTGTAGCCTCAACTGGCCTGGAACTCACTATGTAGACCAGCTGGCTTTGATCTTACAGAGATTCATCTGCCTCTACCTCCTGAATGCTGGGATTAAAGGCCTGTGCCACCACATACTGTGATCTTTGTCTTTTTTTTCTCTCTCTTTTTTATTTTATGTGTATGTGTGTAATGCCTGCATGTAGGTAAGTGTACCCATGTCGTGTCCAGCAGTGCCCAAGGAGGTCAGAAGAGGCTGTCGGAATCCTAGGACTGGAGTTGTAGACAGTTGTTAGTTACCATGTGGGTGCTGGGATTCAAACCCAGGTCTTCTGCAAGAACAGCTAGTGTTTTTAACCTCTGAGCCATCTCTCCAGCTGGTCTTTGTCTTTTTAATTATTCCAAGAATGCTTTATTTTTGGCTCTATGAAATGTATACTAGAAACTGCTCCACATGTTGCCTCCTCAGGGACGGGTGGGGCCTTGTGAGCCCCTCTTCCTCACTTAGAAATATTTTTAAATTTTGTATTTATTTTAATTTTATGTGTATATTGCCTGCATGTATATAAGTATACTTGTGTCATGCAGTGCCCCCAGAGATCAGAAGAGGGCGTCAAATCCCCTGGAACTGGAGATGCATATGGTTGTTAGTCACCATGTCGGCCCTGGGAACTAAACCTGGGTCCTCTGCAAGAGCAGCTAGTGCTCTTAACCACTGAGCATCTCTCTAGCTCCTTAAAAGTATTTTTATTCTTTGAACATTTCATACATGTAAACAGTGTATCTTGATCACACCTATTCCCCCTTCCCTCTACCTCTCCCTCCCAACTCTGTCATTTCTTAAAAAAATAGTTTATTGAGTATTTCATACATGCGTATAAGGTGTTTTGATCAAATCCATGCCCACTCCCTCCCCTCCAACTCCTCCCATATCTCCCCATCACTTTTTTCTGATAACTTCATGTACTCTTTCTTCTTCTCTTATTTATTTATTTA